TAGATAGATAGATAGATAGATAGATAGATAGATAGATAGATAGATAGATAGATAGATAGATAGATAGATCGATCTTTGGGTGAAACAGAGAAAAAGAGAGGGGGGGAGGGGGAGAGAAAGAGGGAGGGAAAGAGAATGAGAGGGGGAGACAGAATGAGAGAAAGAGGGGGGAGGGAGAGAGGAGAGAGAGAGAATGAGAGAAAGAGGGAGGGAGAAAGAGAGGGGGAGAGAATGAGAGAAAGAAGGAGAAAGAGATAGGGGTAGGGAGGAAGTGTGAGAGAAAGAGGGAGGCAGGGAGAGAGAAAGAGGGGGAGAGAGAAAAAGAATGAGCGAAAGAGAGAGGGGGGAGACAGAATGAGAGAAAGAGAGGGAGGGAGAAAGAGAGGGGGAGGGAGAGAATGAGAGAAAGAGGAAGGGAGAGGGAGGGAGGGAGGACCAGAAGGAGGAGGGAGAGAGAGGGACGGAGGGAGAGAGAATGAGACAAAGAGGGAGGGAGGGAGGGAGGGAAAGAATGAAGAAAGAGGGAGGGAAGGAGGGAGAGAGAGATTTGAGAGGGGAAAAAATGAGCCCCAAAAAGTTTGCTTCTACAACCACTTTCTGCATTCCCAGAATACTCCTGTTTGCTTTAGGAAGAGATTAATAGCCTCTGGCTACTGCTGGGAATGACATACAGAATATTAATTAGAGTAATTCTCTATGATGTGCTTATTGGAAATGTATTACATCAGAGAAAGGAAAATAAATATTCAGGCATTATTCATAATGCTTTCGGTATATCTGTGAATAATGAGTTATGGTAAGATACTATATATAGTACTTTAAAGACACTCTAAGTCACCAGCATGGAAATGAGCCGAGGCAGTTCCAGAGATCCAGGGTGAAATATCACCTTCTATGGGTTTCAGGGCTGTCGTCATATATTTCACTCTCTCATTGTGGCTTTCTGAACTCCATCAAGGACGCTGGTGATTTATCAGTGCTGCTACGGTTAAAATGATGAACTAGGAATTGAGAAGTCATAGAATTGTAAGGTTGGAAGGGACCTTGGAGGTCTACTAGTCCAACCCAAGGCAGGAATCCTTGTATCGTCTTCAGGGTGGGTTCCGGCAGTCATTACTGCTGATTCGCTTATGGCCACGCCACACACGCGCGCTTGATGCGAGCACATGCACAATGCAATAAAAATTGCTCTGCGCATGCGCAGAAGCAAAAAACAAGATGGTGGTGCCTATGACGCCACCGGGAAAAACGATTCAGAGATGTGGCAAACCTGGGTCGCTGTCGGTTCCAGTGACCCAGGCTGCCAAACCACTACCGGTTCAGCCAAACTAGTCTGAACCAGTAGGAACCCACCACTGATCATTTTGGCCAAATGGTTGTCCAATTTTTTCTTGAAAATCTCCAACGATGGAGCATCCACCAAGCTCCTCCACTGCTTGACTGGACATGATTTTTTTTTGACAATTTTTGCAGCAGCTGTTAAGAAAACACTATGGTTGTTACATGAACACGGTGGTCATTAAGCAAATATGGTTGTTGTTAAGTGAAACAAGTTTCCGCACTGGGATTTTTTTTTTTTTTTGCCAGAATGGAAGCAAATTGTAGAAACCAACTAAAAAGAAATATCACACATTACAGCCACAATTATGCTTTGCGTAATCCCCGACCTCCGGTCCTTCCGACGCGCCCTAAAAAGTTGGCTTTTCCAGCAAGCTGGCCTGGTCCGAACAGCATAAAATAAATGATTAATGTAATTGTTAATTTTAATCTAATTTTTAAATTTTTATTGTTGATATTAATTGGGTTTGTTTTTGGATACTTGATTTAATTTCCTTTTTAACTTTTGTAATATGTGTTGTTTTTTTATGTTGTACGCCGCCCTGAGTCCTTTGGGAGAAGGGCGGCATATAAATCCAATAAATCTAAATCTTTAAATATTTCCTATTTTCTTATCACAGTTTGTAAGGCTGCTGCTGAATCTAAAAATTTACAGTAATGGCAGAGACCTTGATGTAAGTTTTGTGTCTCCAATTGATAAAACAGTTGATGAAACTGTTTAGCAGTATACGAAAACAACTTTTACAATCAAGTATTTTTTCCTGTGAACATTTCTGGCTCTTTATCAAAATAGATCAAGAAGCCTGTTTTAATACCCGAATTTTCCCCAAAAATCTGTTTTTCATTACAATTGTCATTCATCAACTAATTAAAACTAATCTGAACAGTTGTATAGATGTGGAACGCTGCTTGCTCTGTAAATTCACCCCCAAAAATAACGTATAATAAATATAAGAGTTCAGAAACTAAGATTACATTGCATGTTGAATGCATTTTTCCACATCCCCATCATGGTGCATTGAAGATATGAAAATCAATTGTGGCAATTAAAACATTGCCACAATTTAAGGTTAGCCACAATTGTGGTCTAAATTGATCAAGTGCTAAATATGCAAGAAACCCATAATCCGATTATCAGAAAGATATTCATTTATTTTCAATGAATTCAAAATGTGTTTTGGTGGGTTTAAGTTCAGACTGTTTTGTACATTCGTCCCATTACAGTTTATAAACAAGGATTTGGGTCTCTGCTGGGCCTCAAATACGTATGATTTTGATTTTTGCATGCTTCTAAGCATTCATTTCTAAGTATTCAAGGGACGTGGCGGCTCAGTGGCTGAGCTTGTCGATCAAAAAGGTCAACTTGATGTCACTTATGGTCACGCCCACTCAGTCACATGCCCCCACCACCAAGCCACGCCCACAGAACCCGGAATGAAAAAAATGTGCGTATGAGTCCATTCACAGCAGAGCTGCTGCTCCCTTTATGGTCCCCCACCCGGCCCCCTCCCTCCCGGGGACTATCTTAAAGGGACAGGCTGCAGCAGCTCTGCTGTGAATGGAGAGAGAAATGTTTGGATTAGGTGGGCGGGTCAAATGTCCAGAAGAGGTGAGCAGCGACCAGGCGAGTGTGGGCGAGGTCACCAGGGAGTTTTGCCATTGGTTCGGAGAACTGATGCCAATTGTCCCAGCCGAACTGGGCCAAACTGGGAGGATTTCACCCCTGAGCACTGCCTCCTAGAGTCAGGAATGACTAGCACATATGTGCGAGGGGAACCTTTACCTTTATCTAAGCATTCACTCTTATTATAGATTATAACTTGAGTCAAATAATAAAACCAATTCTTTTGGTTCTCTTTTTCATTGTCTTCCAAGGAAGCCTGCCAATTAAGTTACTCGTCATTTCAATGAGCAGAGAAATAAATCTATATGATAAATACGAACTCTCTTTGTGCTGTGTGTATCATTACCCCCCTTCCAGAAGACTTAACTTTCAGCATCCATCCCATTAGCATTTGATCAAATGGTAGTTGATAGGAAAAGCTGGCTGAGATTTTGCCTGCTTTTAAGAGCTGGGATACGAAATGGATGCTTTGTGCTGTAACCTTTACATTTTGCAGTCTACACACCATCACAAGACTGATGCCCAACTCACAAAGCAGACCTGGGAGAAATGTGCTTTTTCCCCCCACACTCACCCTTTGGCTAGTGTTGCTATGCCAACGTCCGTTAGTTTCATTCCTACACCTGGAAAAACCAAACAGCAAATTAGCATTACCATAAAGTAGATCAGGTACAAAAAACATTTAATGCATCAATGTCATTTTTAGTGGTTTTGCTACTGATCACAGATGCTATCCATTGCTTTTTATATATGATGTATCAGTTGTCACAAATATTTAATTCCTCCAGGGCAAGTAATTTATTTTGCTCTCAGTTTAGCGCTTTGCTGGAAAAAAAAGGCATGGAAGATGCATTACTTGGGGTTGGGGGGGGGGGAACAGGAGCCATATAAGTTATAATTTTGCAGACTGATGTTCACCTACCTTGTTCTATACAACCTGTCCTGGATTTTATGGAGGTGTTTTATGATTTGTGATGGCTGGATGCACTGAATAGTTTTCTTGCAATCTTATTTATAACTTCGGGAGCTAATCCATGTCTGTTTGAAGACTACGGTCATATTTTAATTTACTCAATATCTCTTATTTAAGGTCCTACTGTCTGGAGCTGCTACTGAACACGGCTTCTATGCAGTGTTGGCATTTTTTCTACAGTTTTGGCAACCAACCATTGCTGTTTCTGGGTTCTAAGCAGGAGCTTGACTAATCTATTACTTTTGCCCAAAATGCATGATCGCTATCTCCATTGCCATTATCTTCATTTTCATGCATATATTGGTTTTCCAATATGTGCTCAATATAGTTTAAGACAAGATAGTAATGAACTGGCTACTCTCAAAAGCACAGCCATGTCACAGTGCCACGATTATGGCAAAAAGTCTCCAAACTAGAATCTATATATACAGTATATAAATGGCTGTGTGTATGTTCCAGCATAACTCTGGAACGCCTCAAGCAATTTCAACCATACAGATGACTTACTTGCTGGGAAAAAATATTGTGGGGGGGGGGGTAAGACATCCCTAACACCCCTCGGGATGTGTCTTCTGCTTTACAGCCTGTTGTGCCTTAAAATGACTTCTATTGTACTGCCGTAAAATGGCTTCTACTGTACTGCCATAAAATGGCTTCTACTGTACTGCCATAAAATGGCTTCTACTGTACTGCCGTAAAATGACTTATATTGTACTGCCGCAAAATGGCTTCTACTGTACTGCCGTAAAATGACTTCTATTGTATTGCCGTAAAATGGCTTCTACTGTACTGCCATAAAATGGCTTCTACTGTACTGCCATAAAATGGCTTCTACTGTACTGCCGTAAAATGACTTCTATTGTACTGCCATAAAATGGCTTCTACTTTACTGCCATAA